TGCTGCATTATGAATGTTCCCGCAGAGTTTTCCATCAGCCCTGACTCAGCAAAGACTTTCACTCTTTTCTCAAAGTATCACTCTGTGCATAAGTGACTGGAGCTGAAACCAGGCGTGAGGGAGGTCTGCTGAAAGCATTGGAGAGCACTGAATCATGGCGGCCTGGAAACAGAAAGCTGGAATTACATTTAGGGATTCATCTGACTTAATGTCCACTGTCAGCGTTAGTGATGTGCACTCAACTTCTTTCACAGTGTTACTTTGAGGGGATGTAACTGCATCAGACCTTTGGACTTTTTAAACTTTTTGCATAATATGGTGTCCGTTACTCTGTTACCCTCTGCTAAATAGTTTGACCTGACATCCAGTCGCATAACGATGACTGTGCAACGATAGCCAGAATCTCAATCTGCCGACAAAACTCTCACATGTTTAGCTTTCAGACGAAGATCTGCAACACCACAGCTGCTTTAATTCACAGAGTTCGAATGGAAAGCCTCAGCTCGGGAAGATGGGTCCAAACTAATGTCACCTTGTTTGAGTCAAGGCCTGCAGAATGGAGAGTAGGAGTCGTATGCTGAGTCCTAATGCAGCAGTCTGAGTGAATGTGCATCCAGGTGACATTGCAATGTAGAGCCGTGCACGACACCCCTAAAGTTGAACACATAATGGGGTGCAAAACTGGTCATATATCACATCTGTGCGAGCGCGCCTCTGCTGAAGCTCAATTTGTCACAATCTATTACAGTCTCCACCACACACACACACACACACACACACACACACACACACACACACACACAAACTGATTATTTTCACTGCCAGGCTTCTGTGTAAATGCACACAAAAGCCGGTTTACACATGCATATAACTGAATTCAATCCCACACACATACATAAATGGACTTTCTACCACTCCATTTTGTGCAGACTTCCAAACCAACACACACACACACACACACACACACACACACACACACACACACACACACACACACACACACACACACACACACACACACACCCACAAACTATTGTATCATCCAATTCATAAGCCTGCACACATTACACAGAGAAACACACACTAAATGAGTTCCCTGCTTGAATAACAAACCACTACAACATGCTACAGAGAGAATTCCTTCCCTCTCTTCCTTATTTAACATGCAGGGCATTAATTGTCTGCATGATAAATCACAGCCATTTCAGCAGCACCCATGTGACATGCACACTCGGGTTGTTTATAAGCACAGATGTGAAAACATAATCTCTGGATTCGCAGGGAGAATGTCAAGGGAGGGCCGCCTCTTATTCGCCTTAATGAATCATGCTATAACTTCATTTTGCAGGAGCAACCACACAGTGTGCATGCTGTATGTGGTGGATGAGCGGGAGCACGTGCTTCATGTTTGATTATGGTGATGCGTCTCCGGCAGGATATTTACACATGATGCACAACGCTCATGACATGCTTTCCAGGATTTACATGAAAGCGTGTTGTCATTTAATTTGGGCAACAGCTCTTGTGATAAATTGTCATTATAGTATACATGACACATTACAGCTATTTAATTAATGTTACACTTTGACATCTTGTCTGGAGTAGAAAGGAATCATGCTTCCTATAAAATAAGATGTATTGATTTCAAGGGCTGAAAATATACTTTTAGATTGAAATAGGTACAGTACACAACCTAAATATGGATAGAATAGAAAATAAAAGACTAAAGGAGAACATTTGGAGACAACAATTGCAAGGTAAAGTGACAATGGGGCAGCAGTGGTTCAGTGGGGCGGCAGTGGTTCATTCTGTAGGGGATTGGACTTTTGTTCCGATCGGACAAAAAAATACAGAGTGTGGACTGGTACTGGAGAGGAGCCAGTTCACCTCCTGGGCCACTGCCGAAGTGCCCTTGAGCAAGGCACCTAACCCCCAACTGCTCACTGGTGCCGGCTAGACTGGCTGCCTCCGCTCTGACCTCTCAACTGCATGTGCATGTGTGCATATAACTGTGTGTGTATTTGTATATGTATGTGCATGCTGTAAAAAGTGTGTACTGTGTGTACTGTATGTACCTGATCTGATCCCACCCACATACTCCAACCAGAATTCCAGCTCCTACCTTCTGGTAGAAGATTCAGGGTTCCCAAGAGCAGGCTGAACCGCTATAAGCACTCATTCCTACCTATGTCCATTAAGCTTCTTAACATTCACATGAAATGAAATGTAGTCAAATGTAATGAAATGTACTTTTTAAATGTTGGCCATGAGGGTTGTGCAATAGGTCGCCATTGTCAGTATGTGCGTCTGTGTATTGTGTTTGTTCAAACGGTGTATGACTGATGATATGTGTATGTCTCTTAATGTCCACTATGTTTGTATATGTACATGTATGCGGAACTGCAGGACGGAGTCCAGAACAAATGTCCTTACGGGGACAATAAAGTATATCGTATCGTATCGTACCTGTATTAAAAAAAACGCATGTGTGTGTACGACAGATTGGAAACTGAATTTCCACTCTGTCGTATAAAGGTCTTCTTCTTCAATAATGATATAAAGGTGGATGTAGGAAGAACAAGACGTCCACTAAAGCTGTTTCGGGGACAGACGAGGTGCCAAAGAAAGAAGACCTCAGCTAGGGAGATTGCTCTCTAGGTCAATGCACGACAATAACGCTGCTTATCACAGCAATGCAGAACACACTTAGATCAACTGAGCTCTTTCAACAAGTGAATAAAGACACTCTCAGTCACTATCAACGCTTTGAACAAGTAAATAGCTGGATAAAATACTGTCTCTGAAAAGACAGGAAGCTGCCTCCTCCTGTCCTTGCCTCAGGTCATGTCAAGTTCAGGTTCACTGGTAAACATGACATATTCACCAGAAAACAGCACCATCGGTTGGATGCTCAAATGCTTACAGTAAAATGAAATGTTTGACCTTTGTGGAAAATATGGTCTGTCCTCTCCATAAGCAAGTGAAAAAGGGCAGTGACAGAATCTTGGTTAAGAGGTGTTCGAGTATACAAAGCATAGTATAGTAGTGGATACCTTCTTCATCAAATTACAATACAGCAAGGGCGACCTGTAGAATAATGTATAATCTGATGGCTTCAAGTGTGAATGGTGAATGGGAAAAGGTTTGAATAGAAACTAGATGAAACAATGGGCGAAACAGAAATAAATACATGAATAAGTAATGATAAAATGCAGCTACATTGGCACAAGACACATACAACTTTTGATGCAAATGTAGCACAAAGTCATGCGTCATAAACAGCTATTTTAGGCCGTTCTTAAAGGGGGCTATGATTGTTAAAGTATGTTCACATGCACTTTGTTATAATTATTATTATGAAAAAGAAAAAGGAATCTGACATGTTCAATAAATGGGAAAAAACGAATAAATGGTTTGTTTTCAGAATCTGGTGTAGAGGACAGGCTTTGTTTGAGGTAATACGATTTGACTCAATAAGTTTCTATTTTTATTGCGTTCCATTCTATGATTTAAGGTAAATGTCCTTCTGGTTGGTTCTTTATAACAAAAAGTTGGATGTTTTTGTTCAATTTTATTTGAAGAGCCTTTGATGATAATAGGAAGTCTTTATTTGCAATTGAAAGAGGGTGAACAAAAAGTACATGTTCTCAAGGTAGTTGTACTTGAGAACTATTTTCAAGTACTTTGTATTTCTATATTATGTTTTTCATTTTAAACTCACTGCTCTCTATTAGATATTTTTGACAAATGTTGTTTCTTTACAGATTCAATTTACATTAATAATAAAATAATATTCTAAAATATAATTCATGTTTTATCATTTTATCATTATAATTGTTTTATATTATTTGTGTATTTACTCCATTTAAAATATTTGACAGATTTTTTTACTTCACAGATTATTATTTTTACGCACAAATATGGTCTTATTCTTTATATTTGATGTGTCTTTTGTCTTGGTCTGGGCACTGCTTTTGTCCTATCTTGGATTTATATGTTTTCTTGCTTGCACTTTGCCTTGTGATCGTGTTGTGAATCTGTTCTATTTAAGAACAATCAATAAAAAAAAGAAATATTGATTTTTAGCTGTCAGTCTCACTCGTGATGACCCCCTGGAGGTCATACAGTAACAGTACAGTGTGGTACGGTACTCCTGAATAAAACAGTGCATACAGCACCTTTTTATTCAACAGTAAAGCATGTATGTGCAAGTGTGTGTGTGCAATAATAAAACTCTCTTTCCTCCCCCTCGCAATTGATATTTCATTTATATCCTATCCTATGTGTCCTTCATTCTGCTGCTGTAGTATATTGGTTTATCCAGAATATTTGATGTTGTGTATTATTTGTAATATATGTCGTTTTAAACTGTATGTATATATTTGCTGTTTATGTTTATTTTAATTGTATAATGTTCATACTTTATACCACCTTTTAAATCGTTGTGCTAAATGTTGTTTTCATATTTGTAATTAAACTGTGTATCTTTCTTGTTTTATTTGAGTCTCTTTGAGCACCTGATAAAGCGCTTGGAAATAAAAATGTATTTATTATTATTATTATTATTATTTTAATACTTGAACACAATGCTGTTACAAAATAATTTCCAAATTTAGCATGAATTATCCATCTATCTATCTATCTATCTATCTATCTATCTATCTATCTATCTATCTATCTATCTATCTATCTATCTATCTATCTATCTATCTATCTATCTATCTATCTATCTATCTATCTATCTATCTATCTATCTATCTATCTATCATTTTAGTGAAGTGCAGTTTGGCTCTGGTACATAAACGCCTCACATTCCGGGTGTCAGTCTACCCTGGTTTGGTTGTTTCTACTGCCTACTACGGGACGTTTGTGATTGGTTCTCTCCTCCCTCTGCCCCTCCTTCTCCCCTCGTATGTAAATCCGGTCGGGACTGAGCCGGTAGGTGAGGTTGGGGCTGGTGGCTCCTGCCTCGCGCACAAGAGACCCGAGCGTGGCCGAGGTGAGATCACTGCGCCTCCGGAGCTGTCCTCTGTGCCGGTGCTGAACTCCACATCGCCCTATTTCCCCTTCGTCCTCCTACATCGGCTCTGCTGTGCACTGGTGATATTTTTGGGACGGGATTAACAACCTTCTTTTTGGCTGTTTTTAGGTGCAAACTTCACCTCTCTAAAACACATCGGAGATTACACACAACCAGTCGTGGATTTGAAGGAGATTAATACTAGTTTGTGGGTCTTTTCACCTCTAAACTCGCTTGGATTATACTCCTGGATGGTTAACGTCAGGACACAAAGGTAAATACATGTTTTATTTGTTGTTGACTTTGTGTTTTAGATAGACGTCCCCCCTCTGGCTCGTTTAACCCTCATCATCTGCGAACTCTTCTCCAATAATCCGCCAGGTCACTCTCTTTAACTCAGGGAATATCTCGCAACCTCAGGCTTTTCAGTTTCTTGTCTCCAGGTCCCGTAGGCTCAAATCATTTTATATCAGGAGATGTGAAGTTCAGATTACTGTCACTTCCTTCCCACTGTAATACAATCAATGCGTTTGCAACGATTGGAGACACGCCACGATGCCCAGAGCTTTTAATTCATCCGCGTAGTACTTAGTGTGTTATTTTTTCCTTGCCACACTAATCCTTGAGTGACACCGTTAGCAGCAGAGGGATTATACTTTTGTTTTTCATCCTCAATTTTGCGCCTGACTCATTTGGCACTGTATTATAGGCTCCATCGCAAAAGGGGGTTGGACATTAATTGTGTTGTTTGATGCTTTGCGAATTACATTTAGGGTTTCTTTTTGGTGTTTTTATCGCCCCGATCGTGCAGCAGATGGAGTCAGAGCTATCGTAAAGCCAGATTAAGTTCTGCCATCGATACGACTCAGATTTACTGCCTGAAATCCTGCGAGGAGCTCTCTGTTGATGGATATAGAGCAGCCTTATCTGTAGGTCCGGGAACACATATTTTGCTGCCTATAAAAATCCTATAACTGAATTCCTATAGATATATTTTAAAAACACTTTATACAACAACACATCCGAGTATTAAAATCCCCCCAGAAACACTAACTGCAAGCTACAGAATGTAACTAAATACTTACATTTTACTCACATAAGTACTCATTTGAGGTGATTGTGCAACTGTTTAAAACACTTTAACATTTCAAAGCAATATCATTTGACATATTTAGTTCCGTGTTGCTTCACTATACCAATAATACTTTACTATACAAAAAAATCATGGGTTTATGCAAATAATGAGGCTTTTTTCACATTCATCTCACCATTAGTGGTTATTTGAGCTTTATATTGAAAATAATATGCAATTTATTCATTAATGTAATGAGTGTAACACTCACAAAGTCATTATTCTGCATTAAACGCTTTTACTTTTCACTTAAAGTACATTTCAAACATGGGATTTTTCCTTGTAATACAGTGTTTTTTATAGTGTATAAATGTAGTGCCTCCATCAATTAATGTAAGAATATATTATGGTGACTTTCATTATTCCAGATGTTAGTCTGCTGACAGCTTTATGTATTTACAGTAACAGGTAAAGGTGACAACAAGACAAAAAATGTGCTGGTTGTTCATTAAAACAAACACAGCAGTGCACTCTACATATTGTGTTTACTTGACTTTTTCATGATTAACCATGCACCAAAACACATCTGATGCCGCCAATATTAGTGTGGATCCTACAGAATCCGTGCAGTTTGAACGTTCAGTCGTCTGTGTGCTTTTTACAATCCAGTTTCAATCCATTTATTCCCACAATGCATTCACTTTATCCGTGAAAGCTCTTTGAAACCACAAAATATAATCTATTTCCAGTGGTGCATTGAATGAATGAGTGGGTCTGTTTTTCAAGGCTGCACTCCCTAATTGATTATGCACTTGAATACAAAACAGAGACTGAGTACTATATGATCAATATTTAAAGGGCCCATGTCATGATTTTCTGGTTATTACCGGTCCCCTTGTGTGTTATGAAGGTTTTTCTGCATGTAAACGGTCTGCAGAGTCACAAACCCTCAAAGTACACCCTGTAGTGAGTAAAACTCTAACACAGAAAAGACCTGTCTATGCTGCCCCAGAACGCCTCATTGGAGATTTCTCTTTTTCCATTGTTTGCTTCCTGGGTTCTGTGACGTGTGAACACCCAAATCAGCAACAAATGACCGGATTGGCCCAAATGGACCAATCCGCGGAGCACCTCACACACCAGGATCCCTTGGCTAACTAACAGGGAGTCCCCATTGACTTGCATAGAGCTCCCTGAACGCTGGTAATAGACGAGTTGGGATCGCGGAGAAATGCTCTCCGCAGACCCATTCTCACAGCGTTATAAACATTTTTCTTACTCAATATCAAGCCACACTTATTGTTTTTACTTCGGCTGTGAGTGTTTGTGTGTGCTCAGGATGAGTTTCGCTTGTTCTCGCTGTATCGCAGACCCGGAAACCTGTCCGCTCCTCGCAGCAGCTCGAAGCAGCGGCGAGCAGCAACGAGCCTCGCAACGAGCCTCGCAACGAGCCTCGCAACGTCCCGACCAATCAGAGCACACTGGGCTCACAGGGAGGGGGGGGCAGGAGCTCCAACAAGCCGTTTAGGACAGAGAGTGAATACCTGGTGAATACACATACTATACAGAGATGCTGTATGAGAAACCAATGTGAGTTTGGAAAATTGCACAATTTAAATATATTCTACTATACAATGGAAATATGATCAGTAGAAATGGCCATGACATGGGACCTTTAAGCTATAGATGCTATGTGATATATATATATATATATATATATATATATATATATATATATATATATATACTGTATGTATTGTGCAGAATATAGTGAGGATACTTGATAGTGGTGCTAGCCTCAATATATAACACATAAATATGATACTAAAGCACTAAGTTATTTTCAAGCTCACAAGGACAAAGCCAAACAACTGTTCACAATATTCTCACAGGGAAAACACTCTACCCACTAGAAAAAGCTTTTTTCCCACTTTCCCCCCCCCATCTCAGATCCAATTAAGCCATTTAACAACAGGTAGGAGATGGTGCCGGCTGAGCAGGTACCGGTGTTAATGGAGCTGCTCTGCTTTTCATTTCATTACAATGACTTTCTCGGAGCACCACGGGGAGGCAAAGGCTTTTCAGTCAATAATTCTTTTCACTAGAAAGAAGGAAATTAATGATGGGAAACTGATCAAAGCGTTTGAGATGTGAGAGGAAAACTACAAAGTGCCAGTGCAGCTGGTAGCAGGTGAAGGCAGATTGGAAGAATACGACAATAAGGCTGTATCTTTAGGAGGACACATGCACTGCCACTGAAAATAACACAGCTTTAGAGTATTGATGATGATCTCAGATGCCCTAACCTTTTAAATAGATGTACTTATCACCCTCAGAAAAGTGTTTATGATGATTCTTTAGAAGCATATTATACTTTTATGGCTTTCTGCACATATCTTAGATGCATCCACATTCAGCAGCTTCACTTTTCAATGCTAGGTCAGGTCCGAAAGGCTTTTCCATTCCTGGCCATTAATATTATGATCATGCATTAACACTTTTTTGGCTACCGTGCTATCTATTTAAAGATCCCGGTCGTTTCTACTCTGGCACTGAACAAAAAGGAGATGAAACCACGTTTGTATCTAATTAGTTTGTCGAGAGATGCACTTCACTCAGAATACAAAATCATGTTTTTACAGTAAAGTATAGGCAAATCGCAATAAAGAAACAAAACAAATCTATAATTAGATGACAAAAACAATTACAAATAATAGAAATAAAAAATCTCTACCCGGTATTCAACCCAGTGATATGCATCTAAGGGGGATAAGGATATATTATCTGTATGTCTTCCAGTCATACCACTTTGTTCAATTCATACAATTAATGCTTTATCAAAGGTCGTACAAACAGATGGCGTATTTTATGTACATAGCCATACCCTTGTTCATATATATACATACACACACATATACTCTTATACATATTTCCGCCTGTACGTACATTTGCAGACTTACAGTAAGCAGGTCAGCAGAACTGAACCCAACCAGTGTGCAGATGAAACCTCTGTAGCTGCTCTGTCTGCTACCTTCAGGATGCTTCAGGATCTAAAGAGTCCAATATGTTTAGGTGCTTTTCCATCACCATACCGCTACTGAACTCAATGTGAAGAAAATATAATGGAATAAGACGGCATGCCTTTCATCTATACGGTACATTATATAAGGCAGTATAATTGCATCTATTAAGTGAAAAGCACTTCAGAGGTCCTTGAAGATGGAGACTTAAAACACTTTCCACATTAGAAACTCAGATAGTGAATTCATCATATCATACTGTTGGAAAGCCAGGGATGCTGTTGACATTTAAATGTTAAGTTAACTTAAATAGAATATTGTTTTTCACATTGTCATCAATGTACTGGTAGACAGTATTTCCAGTCAAACCTGTAGACATTGAGTTTGGTAGATTAGTATCCAGAGTGTTTGGAATTAAGACATATTTCTGTTGATTGTATTGGTACCTTGAAAATGCCTGACATTACATTACATGTTACTTGTTAGACACTTTTATCCAAAGCGACTTACATACTCAATACTGTGGGCAATCCCCACAGGAGCAGTTTGGGGTGAAGTGTCTTGCCCAGGGACACAACGACATGCTGACTGCAGTGGGGTTTGAACCTGTGCCCCCCTGATCCGAACACCAACGCACTACTCCGCTACGCACACGCCTCCCTAACATGATATTTTTAATGGACCTCCTTTGTTTTGTCGTATTGGCAGGTATTTTGGCAATATAAATCTCAAGACTTGGCCACATAAAACCAAAACTAAATCACTGGAGCTGAGTGAAAACATAATTATTTTGTAAATTTGGTGAACCCAACCGTTAAAGGAATAGTTCAACCCTTTCCAAAATGCACCATCTTCTGAGAGTTAAATGAAGAGATCAATACTTCTCTCATATCCGTGCCCAGAGCCGGAAGGCGTTTAGCTGGAAACAGAAACTCTGGCTTTATTTCCACTTCTACGCAGCACCTCTGAATATCACTTACTGACATCTTATTTGTGTTACACAGAGATAAGTCTTGATATGAAGATGTTCGCTTACGTAAAATAACTGGCAATGTTTTGGCAACTTGCAGCCTCCGAATGTTTTTCTGGCAACCTCAAGGTGAGGACAGGTCACTGATCCAGCTGCTGCCAAGAAGCTGTTACAGCACAAAGACAACAAAATGCACACATTTTAATTTTCAC